CATCCCGGCTCCCCCCCGCCCGCCCCCATCTCCTCCCTGAGCGGAGGACCCAGGCGTCCAGGCCCTGGCCATACTATGTGACGGAAGTCGCACACCAGCCCGTCCAACTGGGCGTTGTCCTGGAGCAACTTGCTGGTGGAAGTCAGGATGTTGAACTTCCGGAACCTGTGGGAAGGACCAAGGGGGCGGGGCCGTGAGGCAGAGACCCAGGTTCGAGTCCCGAGGCTGGGGAGGGGGCCAGAGACCCCGGTGATGGGCACCCAGTAAGTACTCAGATTTCCTGCTCTCATCCCAGGCCACGTGGCTGCAGCGCTCAGCCACCGGCACCTCAGGTGGAGCAGAGCTGGCCCCCCCCCCCCCACCCCAGGTGGGATGCTAGCTAGCGCCCCCTGGAGGGGGAACCCGTATCCCGTCCTCTGCGCCAGCGCTCACCCTTTCAGGCTGGGGGGATCCCTGCAGGAGGAAAGAGACGACACCACCAGTAAATCGACCGCTCGCACGGGAGCCCTGCTCCCCCCACCCTGCCGCCAAGGAGCCCTTGTTCCCTGGGTGTTAGGTTCCTACCCCCACCCCAATCAGAGCTCCCTGTACCCAACCACACCCAGTGGGCTCCCTGCAGGGGGGGCGCTCACCCTTTCAGGCTGGGGGGATCCCTGCAGGAGGAAAGAGACGACACCACCAGTAAATCGACCGCTCGCACGGGAGCCCTGCTCCCCCCACCCTGCCGCCAAGGAGCCCTTGTTCCCTGGGTGTTAGGTTCCTACCCCCACCCCAATCAGAGCTCCCTGTACCCAACCACACCCAGTGGGCTCCCTGCAGGGGGGGTGCGGTAAGGCCTTTATGGGGCAGGAGGCAACTCACTTGTCAATGCTGATTTCCACCTCCAGCTGGTGGCTTCGATCCTGCAGCTTGACCAGGAGCCTGGAGGGGCAGGGGACAGAAGGAGCCCGTCACCCTGGCCACTGGCCTGGAAGGCCACACAGCCCACATGGGAGGGGTAGGTGTGGGGGTGGGCTCTGGGGCTGAGCATCCCTCCCGCTCTAGCGCCCGCTCCCAATGAGGCTGCCAGAATCATTCCCTCTAATTGTTTCCGTCCATGTGTGGAATACATTTTGTTACGTGCGCCGAGCCATGTGCACCACCAGTAGAAGCACGCTGCCGGCTGGGGGCAACTGCCCAAGCGCTCACCCTACGGGGAACACTGGGCCCCCTCCTGGCACGGCCAGAACCAGGATCTGCCCCAGGGCGAGGCTGTGGAGCAAGCACCAGCCCTCACAGGATGATAGGGGACAAGGCATTGCAGGCTGGGCGGGAGGAGGCAAGCGAAGCCGGAGTTTCACCTGGCACGGACGGAGAACTTGTTGCTGGTTTTCAGAACCAGGGGCCTCCAGTTGAATAAGGGCATGACGGGCTGGACCTCCACCACAAAGGCACTGGGGGGGGGGGGGGGGGGGATTAGAGCCTAAACTCCCAAATCCCATGTAGTCCAGCGACCCCATCCACATCCCTCTGTCCTGAGCCGGTCAGGTCCCTGCACCAAGGAACCCCCTCCCCATGCTCCTATGAGGCAGGCAGCCAACCCCCCCTTCCCCACGCTCCTATGGGCCAGGCCCCAATACCCCTCCCATACGGCTATGGGGCAGCCCAATCCCCAGACCCCAGCCCCCCTCATGCACCACCCGACCCCTTCCCACACTCCTATGAGGAAACCTTCCCCCTCCATGTTCCTAGGCGCAACCTCTGCCCCCCGCCCCCTCCCCCTCCCATGGCGCCACCCC